GCAGTAACTCTGGCTATAGGGCCTGCCCCTGCTGGGGGTCAGGGAGCAGAATCTAGAAAATTGAAGAGATCCCAGGGTGCGCTGCCTTCAGTCTGGTTTAAGTTAGGAAACAAGGCTCCCTCTGTGTTTTCAAAGCCTCGTAATGTTGCTTTTGGCAATAACGGATTGCCCTTTGCTGGATGGGATCCCACCGACAAAAAAAAAACTGTCCCATCAGGAGAAGCGAGAAAGAGGAAAATAAATGTAGAGAGACCAACAGGGATGGGGTTGGGAGCTGCTCAAGGCTGTGGAATTTGTAGCACCTAATGAATCAGATTAATGCATTATAAAATGTTCTCTTGACATTATACCCCTTCCACCATTCCAGTTAGATCAGTGGTATTAAATGCCAAAGCCTAAACGCCTAAAAATACACTGCGGATCAAGCAGACAGGTCACTGTAAATGTTAACTATATACAAAGGGATATGTATATAGTACAGTGTGAAGCACAACTTTGGGCCCTGTGTCTGTGGGGTTAAATGACACTCCTCTACTATGGGAGCTGGAAAGCTCCTGTGAAAACGATATTGCTTCTCTGAAAAGAGCTCAAAGAAGAGCAGCTCGAATAATTCTCACCCTCAAAGGAATGTCTGGCAGTCGGGTGAAGAAAGACACTGAATCTCTTCAGTCGTGACTGCGGCAGGCATGGGGAGCGGTGCTGGGAGTTTTGATTTGAGTACTCAATATTCTCCACTCTCCATGAGGCCGGGACCAGATGTACAAATTAAGAGAAGAAAATGCATGCAGGATGCAAGAGGCGTTTCTTTACACGAAGAGCAGCGGGTGTCTGGATCCAATTACCTGGTCAGATCATTGAAGCTTACTGGGGGAACACCCGAGGAACAACTTGATGAGATTCTGTTACCAGAATGTTCAGCCTCTGGCAACCAAGATGAGCAAAACACCTGCTTGTTTGTAACCTCAGTGTGGGCAGACACCTGGCAGATGACGCATCAGTGCAGTGTTGCAGAAGCCAAGTCTAATTGGCACGTGGGAAACACCTAGTTTGAGGAATCTACCTGTGATAAAGTCTTTGGTGCACATCTTGGCAAAGTGTTACCTTATAGGCAACAGGGGGGAAGCACCAAACAAGACAAACAATTTTAAGATTCTTAATTAAAGGTGAACTTATAGGCACCAAAGGATATTCATCTAAAATGGGGTGATGTACCAGTGAGGCATTTAGAATGTTGCACACAATTTTGGTCACCACGGTACGGAAAAGATGTTTCCCCCTTCAGAATCTCACTTCCAGAAATTTAACCTCCGGAAAAAAAATGGGTGATCACATACATTCTGGGTCCCACACTGGCAGGCTGAAGGATCTGAGCCTTTTTAAAAGTCTTAAATGGATATAAATATACAACCCACTGGACGTCTTCAGAATCAAGAGATTCAGGGGGAGCTACCAGGAAAGTACTTTAAAAACAAGAACAGGGTGGGGTGCTCTTTTCTTCAAATGATCAGGGTCAAACACAGCAAATGATCTTCAAACCTCCCCCCAACAGTCACCTCCAATATCCTTCAGGGCACTACCAGCAAAGTCAGCTCTGGTATTCATCAAATTTCCACGCATGTTGGCTGTTGACATTTCACAAATATGACCAGCGGTATCAGAGTGATGCACACAGCACGACTGCTCACTCTGCGCTTCATTCAGGCAGTCTCGGACATGTCGGCCCGGGATGCTCGTGTTTTCTTTGCTGCACCCTCCCACCCAAAGTGCTGAAAGGCAATTCCACAATGGGATGGGAAATCTCACGCAGAACCTGTCCTACTTGAAAGATACGCCCCACCAAAACGGAACTGAGCTTCTGAGCAGCGGCTGTGTACTGCGGTTCTTCTTAATACTTAACCTGTGAAACTTCACTCCATTTTCAAACCCCAGTAGGTTCATTCTGCCATGAGTCATCTGGTGGGTTAATCAGGTGAAAACGTTTTACGTGAGAACCCCTCAACCAAGAGGAGATCAGGCAGAAGGAGTACATTGCCCACTTGGGAGCTCTCGTTTCCCTGCAGGAGAGCATTTCCAGCCCGCGACAGGCAGAAGGTAAATTGAAGGAGATTATTTCTTTCTGGTGCCCAGAAACATACTCAGTGTAATGAAGAACACATGGTGGCAAGATAAGGGAAGGTTCAAAAGTCATCCTGATGGTGTTTTGGTGTAAACAGAGATTTTGTCTTCTGGAAAGAAACAACAATGACCAAAAGTAGTTCAGGCGGGGAGCTGCGTCAGCACGCGCAGGCTGCAAAGGAACAAGAAATGGGTTTATTCCATGCTGAAAAGAGAAGAAAGAGAAACACAACGTTTCGGCCGTGTTTTCTTTCTTCTTTTCAGCAGGGAATAAACCTATTACTTGTTACAATGACCAAAAGCCTCCCAATGGTAAAGGTCAAATTCCCCATCAGGGCAGCTCAGTGGACTGGAGCTCATTCTGGTTTCCTTGTTGTTAAGCAGACTAGGGAGCGAATGGGACTCAGGTGAATAGGGAAATCTGGATTACATAGCCAGAATGTCTTTAGGAGGTGGGCTGATACCATAGCAAAAAAGAAAACAAGGAAACGAGGAGAACATGCAAAGTCCACACAGACAGGAGAGCCAGTGGGCTGAACCCAAATTAGGATCTCACACCTGTGAGGCCTCAGTGCCAACGGCCACCCCACACACAACCAACATTTCTCAAAGACATCGGATTAAGCAGTCACAGCTTTTACCCCAGCGCAAACATTTCCTCCATTTCTGTAAAGAATATTCAGCAAAATATGTTTTTAAAAAACTGCATGTAGGCAGAAAAACAATTCTTGTTGTCATACCTGCACTGTCCCTGACAAATCGTGCACCGCTAATGTCTTGTGTTCACAAGAAATCCTGCAGGGAAGAAAAGCTTTGAGAACGATCTGGCTCTGTTCCTCGGCAGCGCTGGGTTCCCGAGTCTGGAGACGGCAGAGGAATTTTGGGAACAGGTACTCCCCAATCTAGATTCCTTTAGGTTAATCTCAAAGCTCGGTTAATTCAGAATCTTCTTCTTGAGAACAACCTTACCTTGTAAAACCTACTGTTTACAAATTTAATAGGGATTTTTAAAACGTCTGCAATGATTCTTTTAGAGATAATTAGTGAAACAGGAACTCGAGGAAATGGGTCTCCTCAGAAATGTGCCCTTAGGCCCAGAAGAAAGAAGCTGCTGTAATGGGAAGAAACCCTTGATATATGACGCCCCCCCCCCCCCCAGGGTACAGTACAGTTTAGAGCTGTCAATCAGAAGTAACCAGTGTGTCTTCAGGAGAGGGGAGCAAACCAGAATGCCCAAAAAATGCATGCAGACTCCATACAGACAGGCACTTCCAGCAATTGCACCCAGGACTCTGGAGCTGTGTGGTAGTGGCGCTCGCCACCAAGCCACTGTGCAATGGCTAATTATCGGCCTTGCGTTTAACACTGCTAAATTAACAAGGGATTAATAATTATGACTGTTGAACCAGCCTGAAGAGGGTTAGGGATTTCTTAGACACAGGTACCATTATTATGAGCAGCTTGGTCAATTCTGCTCTTAACCTGAACCCCTTGCAGAAGCAGTCATTAACACGCAGATAACAGAATGCGTTAAAACTCTGATACGGACCAACCACTGAGAAGGGAAACAAACAAACAAACAAAAAAAAAACAGCTCAAACCACGAACGCCATCTTATCTCGAATTTTAATAAAGTTCATTAAACAGAATTTCGCTACTGAACATCTTTGTTTATGTGTAAAAAAAGATTGACTGAGCAGCCCAATAAAATTATAAATAAAAACCCAAACCGTCCCCTGGCTCGTACGAGTCTTGTGGCTGAAACACTCTTCCCGAGAGAGCTTAAGACATTGAACGCGAACGTTTGAGTTTGGGCACAACTTCAGCACAGGCCTCACACAGCCACACTTGTCATTTTTCTCATGAATGAACCATTTCATCTTGGTTCCTTGGCAACATGTGGCAGAGTATTAAATCTCAAGGCTCTGACTTATCCAATTTCAGCATTGTTAGGAGCAACACACAACCACAAAATAACAGTGTGGAATGTGATGCACTTACTGTATGTGAAACTCAGCTGGATATTCAGCTGTACTGAAACAGAACCTGCGTACAACACATTAAATAAACTAAAACTGAAAATCATCTTCCAAACGCTTCTTAGTGGACACCTGAAGTGAGCCCTTCAGCATTCTGCAGACTAATTGTCAAGGTGCACTTCCAATTGTGCTCTTTTTTAACAGGCCAATCTACAGTCTTGAGATTGGCGTAAGATTCCCCTCAAAAGGATCATCATCTCCTTGTTGTGTTTCCGTTGTCCATCTAATCAAGTTCTTTATAAATAAACGTTGTTGCTGAAATTGTTTCCTGCGACACTTTAAATAAAAAGGAAAGCGACTGACTCAATTTAAAAAACAAAACTAAAATAGTCATGAAGCTAAGATTCATTTAGCACGGGATTCTCATGAGGGAAATGGTTGTAAATACCATTGGCTATCCATGTAATTTGATTAATACGTCTATTGTCGCAAACCCAGGGAATTATCCTACAGATACATATTGCTTACACAGATGTCTACCAATAACTCTACTGAAAGATTTGCAAATACATCCATTTTAATGTTCCAGTTTTGCTCCACAAAATATCAATACTTACAAAATCAAATACTCATCAGATTTAAAATAATTCCTTGATTTTACAATTCCTAACATTTCTAAGGTGTCCATGACACTTAGGTTATCATGAAAATTTAAGACAAAAATTGAAAGCTTAATTAAAAACCTCCAATTGCACTGTTCGGTTTTTCCAGTTTCTGGAGTGGTCTTCCAATAGGTTTGTTTCCACATTGCTAATAATTCGTTTCTTCTGAACACACAGAGAGGAGTGCCTCACACACATGTGCTGGTATTCCCTGAATCTGCATGGACAGAAAAACCCAGCTCTAACATATCGCGTGAGCAGTTACTACTGGGCAGGTGGAATGGTATCTGTGCAGTGCTGTAGCTGTACCAACGGGAAAGACGCAGAAGGCAGGGAAAAGAGTGGGGGTCTACAGGAACTGGGAATGGAGTCTTAAGACACGAAGGAATGAACATTTACACCTGGTTTAGACAGGGGGCCAATCTGGAAAATGGTGGTGTGATTCTCAGATCTGGTACTGGAGTGACCAGGGTCGAGAATCACCAGAACAGAGCACACTTCCAGAAAGCTCAAAGACACAGATGAAAGGCTACATTCGCCTAAAGCATCAGTCTAACCCAACAGCCGCTAAAAAAAAAAGGCAACTGATGCATCTTGGTTCCCCTTTATTCATCGTGTTTGAACACACCAAGCTGTCACTTCTAATAGCAGAAAACTAGCAAGCTGGCTTTCTGTAGGGAAGCCAGTGAACCACTGTGCTCTGGGGGCTGACTGGAACACCAAGACAGTGCGTGCAGCTGCACAAATGTCAAATGCACAGGAAATCTGTAAGCAAGATTTCAGGAAACAACGACACTGTCATGCACAGCTCTTTGGGACAGAGTCGGCAATTCACACAGACTTCTTGTTTTTTAAACAGGTCTGGCGACCCGGCACTCCGTTCGGCTCCGCCTGCGGCCTTGCCTGCCCACAGACTACAGAACCGGTGCCAGTCCCAGGAGGGGAGGGCACTGTCCTTCCCCCTTCCCCACGCACAGCATGAGCGGCAGTGTCCGGTGAGAGACGGCCTTCGCGCTTAGAGCAGGAGCCGCAGGAGGGCGAGGGCGGGCAGGACACTGCTCACGGCGGCCCGCAGGCCCGGGGCGCCGCCGCTCCCTCCCCCCGCCTCTCTCTGCGCGCAGGACTCGCCCCGGTGTCCGCTATAGCACTGGCACTGGAACTCCCGCTGGAAGTAGTCCCGCTCGCCCGCGGTCAGGAGCCCCTGCGCCTGCAGTCTGCCTCCCTCCCGCTGGATGCTGAAGCTCTGCGGGCTGAGGTGCAGGTAGGTGTCCGTGTTGGGGTTGCGGCGCAGGCAGCGGCCCTGAGCGCTGCACCTCGCCTTGCTGCACTGCTCTGCTGCCGTCGACACGTTCACCAGGTACCGCCCCAGCGCCCCCCGCAGGTATTCATTCAGCGTGTTGCAGTTGGCCTGTGAACACACAGCAGGAATCCAGATGTATCTGCAACTGCTCCGGAAAGTAGGTTGAACACAGTTAACACAGTGACATGCCTTTCATTCGCTTTCTCTCCTATTGCACGCACAAGGTCTCCGTTATTTGGTACAGATGGTTTTTGCCTACTAGAAGATTTGAAAGAAGAGAAAGGCTCGCACACTTCCAAAACCGCTGGGGGAAAAAAACAAAACACTGCGGTCAGAGTTTTTGCTTCAACCACATCATGGCTGTAAAGTGGGTTAGTTACCAAGGCAGTAAGATGCACACGATGAAGGCGGTCCAGGCTTTCCCTCCCCAGTAAAGAGATGCATCACTTACAATGCTGCTGGCGTAGGTAGAGTCTCCCCAAAAGATGATTCCCGCCACTCCCAGGGCCACGCTCTCCCCTATAGTGGAGACGAGGTCCATCTGCCGAGACACAAAGGCCCCCGTGTTCAGTTCACGCGACAATCTCCCTGCAAAACCTCACTGGAACTGCCAGCCAGCTCATTCACTGACTCGAGTACGTGGGGGGGACCGGATGCAAGTGATGAAACTCCCCCAAGGTCCTGACAGAGTCAATCCAACGGGTTGTCAGGTGCAGCGACGGAAACGCAAACTGAGAACGGGGGGGGGGGGCGTTCCTTTACGCAAAAGGTGGTGGGGGACTGGAACAAGCCGCCCAGCCTTGCTGTTGAAGCCGAAAACCCTGGCTTCTTCCAAGACATGGCTGGGTGAGATCCTGGGATCCATTAGCCCCTAATTAGCAAAACTGGCTGAATGCTCTTGTTCGTGACCCTTCAAATATTCTTATTCAATTAAGTCATTAAGGGCTCAGGAGGTTATGCACGCCAGACACAGGAGTCTTGTCTCTCGTCACTGATACAGAGCTCCCTGTGACATGAAGTGACCTATGAGGGCAAGGGTTAACTAATCTGAAGGACGACAGATAACGTACGCTGAGAAGCACTGAAAACACAACTGTTTTGCAAATGTTATTGGTTTCAATACCCATGCGATATTTTTAGTAGTTACATCATAGAAGCTGAATGGCTCTAGGGGATCTGAAAGCCTAATAGGTGACATAAAAGATGGCATAATCAGCTTAAAGAACTGCTCAACCTGGAGAAAGCCTGGAAAAGACACCTACAAAACGTGTTACACGCACCAGTCCTCGTTTACGGCATAAGAGGAATGCAGAATATATCCATGCAACTGAAGAAGAAAACAAGAACAGTACACAAATGAGGCCCAGAATGACTGTTTCCTTGTTACTTGCTTAGCTGACACCCTTGTCAGGGGCATTCCTGAAGCCAGATGTTTTTCCCCAGAGCTGAAAAGGGAAAGAAAACTCTGCAAGAGGCCTGGCCGATGCCCCCCTCCACCCCGCCCCCCATGTTGAAGGGGCTGGTGAGATGTGCCCCCCTCCAGACTGCACAGAAAAGCAGACATAAATTCACTTCATCAGCTGGTCAGTCCCTAACTAATAACCACATGAGAGGTTAAGTTTAAAAGGAAACAAAACACACAAAAAAAGAGCAATAAACCTAACCCAGATTACAGTGTGGCTCAGATTCTTATTTCAAAGTCACGAAATAAATACAATTTCACAACTGTGGCTCATTTAGAAGTGAAATTAAATGCAGGTTTAACAAGTTTCTTCGAGAAGACTTTCACCACCGACACTGTTCAGTGGAAAAATCCCATTTTATGATGAGATCAGCAATTCATCCTTTCCTTCCTATTTCAACAGATAATCTAATGGAAAAACACAGAGGCAGGAAGAACAACAAAAGGTCTTTATTTTATCGAGGATGTTTTTTTTGTGATATTGATGGTTGAAAAATTCCTGATGTACGATTCAGGAGCTCAGCCTTCATTATTTTCTTCTCCCAACAATAACACCTAAAACATTTCACTCCCAACATCTGCTTTTTCCACTGGGTCCAGTCCTGGGGTGTTCCAATTAAAATTCCAGAAATCAGGCAAAACCGACAAAGGGTGGGGATGTAATAGATTTCGTTTTTTCAGAACTAATTTTCAGAACGTTAAGAAGAAAGCAGTCAAGTGAATAAATAACAGTGAGAAGATTACACATTACTTCACAGCTGTCACAAGGTAATGACGTCTCAGATTTAAATGCAGCCTTGTCCTTGGCTGTCTGGGCCACAGATAAGGCCCAGTTTTTGCAATTCTATACTTAGAAATAAGGTAGATCTGCCCCTTGAGCCTTTTCTGCTGTATCAATTCCAGTTAATGGCGTCTGCCCCTCTGAGCCTGCTTGGCCTGGAATTCTGTCCTGCCAGGAGGATAAATATGAAATAAAAACAGCTCATGAAATCCAAATACTGAAAAATGGAAAAATGAATTAAAGTTTCTTCACAACCCCCTTACAACCCCCTTCCACTCTAGGAGGCCCAAAAAAGTAAGTTCAGCTGGAAAGCAAGCGTGGAGTTTGTTTTTTTATAACCCTGCTCTTCAGTGGAAGGCAGGCTGGCTGGACACCAGGAGGAGGGCAGCTGAGCTGTAGCTACCACGCCAGAGCCGTTCCTCCACTTTCAGCTGCTGTCCTGCTCCAGCCTTAGTTTGTGCTACCAAAACCTCGTGATATTCTCTCAAACCTGCAGGCCGTGCCATTTGGAACTTAAAAAACGATGTCTACAGAGACGCTGGGGGAGAGAACAACAGAGAACAATCGTTTTTTTATATTTCTATTCCAGTGTGCACTGTGGTTGGCGCATGCATGAAAAGCTCTGCTGTTAAACCCCGCTGCAGGAGTTGATAAGGGCCTGAGTCTGGACCAGCGAGTCGGCGCAATGTGTCCTCCTTCTGCTGGGAACTGTGCAGTGGGGCAGGTGTGTGAAACCTGATACACGAACTTACGATGCTTGCACAGTGAACAGTGCCGGAACACAGACGGGTGAGGGACAATGCTGCTGGCTTGCTCCAATGCCTGGATTTACCAGCACCTCCTGAGCAGCTGCTTGTTCACTCCTTAAAAACGTATTACAGAGACTGACAAGGAAGTCGCCCCATCCCTCCTCATTCTAGGAAAGCAGTACTGATAAGAAGTGCATAAACTGTGCGTCATGTCATCTCCTTTTAACTGCCGCGGATATTTTGGAAATGACTGTGCTGTACAACCCTTAAAATTGACCTTCACAATTAATTTGACGACACACACCCTTTTCCTGCTAAACAGAGGACTCTCCGAGCTGCCCTCCAGGCCTAGCCAGAGGCATTGTGGGACATGGTGATTAACACTGCCTCACAGCTCCAGGCTCCTGGGGTCGATTCTAGGCCAGAGCGCCTGTCTATGCGGAGTCTGCGTGTTATTCAAAGGGTTTTTTTTTTGCTGGGAGCTCCGGTTTCCTCCCACCTCCCAAAGACCTGCAGGTTTAGGTTTGACTGCGTCTTCTTACATGTCCCTTTGTGGAGGGTATTTCCTACCCAGGGCTTTTACCCCCAGATGCTAAAATTGTACCCCAAAGAGAACCAGCTGAACTCAATGGCCACAGTGACATCTATGACCCTGCTGGATTTCTGAGGTGTTTAACTTGGCAGGACCTGAAGCTGAACTGTCAGACAGCTCACCCCACCCACACTGCTTCACAGCCTCCACAGGCTGTAGGAGGACATGGAGGTCAACACTGTTTATATCCTCACTGAAAACCTTTCTGTCTTTTACTGTTTGGTTGTTATATTTTTCCCTCATTGTTTTTTTTTTTTGGGGGGGGAAGAGCTTTTTAGGCTTTCTGCTTTAAGATGCCATGTAAACATGTAAACTAACAATCATAATAATTGACTCAATATTACGCTCTCCTCACTGTTCCTGAGAATAGTCTCCTCGCTTTTGGGAAGTCACTCTTCTCTCCCCCATCGTTCAAGACACGCCAAGTCCCCCCCTGATTCAGGTCCTGATGAAACGGACCAGCACTGGTCCCGACAGGTGAGCGAGCAGCCAGCCAGCCAACCAACCCACCAACCCGGACTGCCACCCAGCGAGGCACAGAGAACATGCAAACTCCCCACAGACTGGCGCAGCCCCCGCCAGGGCTGGAAATCGAACCCGGGGCCCTCGAGCCGCAAGGCAGCGGCACTAACAGCTGCCCCGCAGATGCCACAACCCATTCGAAGAGCCTCTGTTTTTTTTACTTTCGCCACCCCACGCACGGCTCACCTCCGTCAGCAGCTCCATCTCGTTGGTGTAGGTGGGGCGGGTGTAGACGAAGACGGGCCGGGCCGGGCCCTCCCCCACCTGGGCCAGCCTCATGCCCTCCCTCACGCGGTTGCGGACGAACTGGCGCCCGAAGGGGCTGGAGCGCAGCACGGAGCCCACGTAGATGGAGGGGAAGAGGGCCGTGCTCTCGGCCCACAGCCAGGCCAGCTGGTCGTTGCGGCTGACCTCCACGTCGGGGCAGCGGCCCGTGTAGTTCTCCAGGCTGTTCTTGTAGTCGTGGTTGTAGCAGTCTGGGAAGAGGTAGAAGCCCCAGAGCTGGTGAGGTCGCAGGTGCTTGGCGTGCCTCAGGGTGCCCAGCATGAACGCCCTGGCCGAGGCCTCGAACTCCTGCTGCGCCACCTTGTTCACCTCCTCCTTGCTCCAGGTGGGGTTCCTCCTGGCGGTCAGGTTGCGCGACACGCTGCGGTACACGTCCTTGGCGTCCCAGTTGCGGATCCACAGGGGGCGCCACTCCTCCCAGTCGATCACGGCCAGCCCCCTGGCGCTGGGGTCCCGGATGTACTTGTTCACGCCCTCGGGCATCTTCTGCAGGTGGGCGTCCAGGCTGGAGGTCTGGGGCAGCCCCGTGTTCACGGCCCGGCCGCTCCTCTCGAAGTAGGGGTACAGCCCCAGCCGGTCCTTGTAGAAGATGGTGAGGTTCTGCCCCACGAAGCCCTCGTTGGGCGAGGCCCGGATCTCGAACTGGCCCAGGTCGAGGTCCACGCTGTAACGGGGGCGGCAGTCCTCCGTCGGGGCGTTCCAGGCCAGGAGCAGGGCCCTGCCGGAGAGGAAGGGCCGGCGGGTGGGCTTCGGGGGCCCGGCGCGGCAGCAGCCCGGCGACAGGAGCAGCACCAGCCAGAGGCCGCAGGCGGGCAGCGGCCAGCGGGCGCCGGACATCGCTTCGCCGACAGGGGGCGCTGGGGGGGAGAGGAGCAGCGAGCCAGGCGCACTCGGGTCTCTGTCGAGGAGTAAAGTGGTAGTTAATGGAAAGGAGGAGGAGGGAGAAGCACCAGGCTGCAGGCCGGGACGGCGGAGATGTTGAATCCTCGTCCCGGAGTGTCGCAGTTTTTTGGGGGGCACAGGCGATACAGCGCGATTCAGGGGGTGAAAACTAGGAGACACGGGGGCCCTGCAGGACCGGGAGTGAAGAGCAGTGCTGTGCACACTTCACCCTGAAGGAGCCACGCAGGTGCACAGAGAAATAAATGCCCACTGCACTAGAACTACGGTACTGAACAGCCCGGGAACTCGTGGGTCTGCAAGACCGCGTTACGATACCCTATCGTTTTCTCCCCCAGTTAAATACTTCATTTCCCAAGTAACGTACGTTTATTTATTTTTTTTTTCCCCCAATCAGGCCTGGTCAATGACGAAATGAAAACCTGGCATTTGGATATTAAAACGGTTTAGTGTGTACAGAGCTGTGGGAAGTCATTACCTCTAAGTCAACTATTCATATTGTTTGCGGAGCTGCTGAGCGGTACAGCGCTTGCAAAAAGCGTCCAGATTTGTTAACAAAGCCGTAAAAGTGCAGATACTCCCGCGTCACGCGTGTACCAATTCTTAGTTTACTTGTGCACGCATAACGCGGCGCCAAAGAGTTCTTCAGAAATCGGTTGGAGGTCTGTAAAATAAATTACACTGACGTGGAGCCCATCTACAACCTTTTTAAACTTAACAGAACAAAGCGTGCATGTCACAGAAGCCGGATAAAGATCCAATGAACTATCCAGTGCGGTTCTGTTCGGCTTGTCTACTCGCAACGCCGCTGTAAGAGATGACACAAATAAAAGCTCGGTGCATTAATTGAAGATCCGCACACGCACGCAAAACCCGCTCATTGGGAAAGTTTCGCAGGGTAGAACTTCACCATCCCGGCTCACAACTTGAGGACGCAAACAAACTAAAATGAAAACAAACGAGATACAGTACCTTTCCGACTGCTGCTACCTTGTTAAAGGTAAAGGCAGGCAGGCGAGCACGACCATTCCTGCGCACGAAAAGTTGACCTGGAATAATTTAAGAATAATTCCCCCTAGACGCCCGGTCGGCTGATCAGCAGTCGGCACGCATGAATAAGATTTTAAAGAACAGAACAGCCCATTAAAGTCCGTTGTTTCCACCAAACCCCGCTTTCCAGACCATGATTCCTCGTCGGGGAAGACACAAGAGCCCCTACTCGAATTTCTTCTTTTTCCCTTTCATTGTTTTACGCGATCGGCGATCCCGTCCAAACCACATCCCTGTTTTTTTTTTTGTGTGTGTGTGACGAAACCGCCCCGCAGCCTCAGCGTAGCTCCAGGTTTTCTAAGCGTGGGGCTCTTCAGATGGCTTAAAAAAAGCAGCTTCGACACTTTCTAGACTGGGAAAATGAGGGGAAGGGGGGGGGGGGAGATAAGAACTCTTCTTGTGAGAATGTATCAAATAAACGCGACACATTATGCGTCCCACATATATTGCGTCTGTTCGCGTCCCAGGCACACACCCGTTCACCTGAGTTCAAAGTCTAAATATGATCGATTCTCAATTTATTTCTCTCTCTACTGTACCCAAATACCCCCCCTATTTTTTACGAATAGATTATTCCGCACACAGCACGCCGGAGCTCAGCTGTCCGAGTTCCTACAGTAGGAAGGAGCCCACAGCAGTTACTCTGTAGTAACAGAGGACTGGGAACACAATGACCGTATCATGTTACAGGATAGGGGGAAGTGAATCGCCAGGGATTAAACGGGATGGTGCTTTTGGATTAAAAACCGAGAATGCCCTTTCTTTTTTCTTAAAACAGACCAACAGCAGAGACCTTTGGCCCGTGTTTAAAACCCCGTCTGTAGAAAGAAGCTCACCACCAGCGCGTGTTAACTGCACATCCCTCATTGACATGCAAAAAAAAAAAAACTCCGTTTAAGAAAGCGGCATATGCAGCAGTTTCTCTGCATATTCTGCACGCTAATCAACCGTTTCCCTTATTTGTTTCTGACGCTTATTTAACTTCAGAGGTTTAATATGACGAACGCGGCGTGTATTATCTGACAGGCAAGTGTAAAAGGGTTTTTAGAGGGCACAATACTCGAGGCAATGCGAGAAAAAAAAATAATATAGCGCACCAGCATCGTCCCCGTGGTACCTGCTGGAACATATCGGCACGATTTGATTCTGTTAAGATCAGATGCTGTACCTCCGCCTACGAGAGCTTGAAAGAGGAAATGTGATTTGAATAAGATGGGTTTGTCCGCCCGGTGTGGTGCAACATGTGCGGTCACACCGTCTCGTGAGCTGCATTTGACAGGTCCAACCCATCTGCCGAGTTCAGGAGTAACCGCGCTTTCGGCAGTGAATTGAGGATCAGAGAGAGATGCGTAGCGTCTTGCATGTTCAGGTGGCAGTCTCTGTAAGGCCCCAGACCGTCGCTAACCTCGTGTGGTAGACAAAAGTTAAAAGAACTGGGGCGTAATGTTCACGAAAAGTGAAAAGGCATCAAAAATGGAGAATCAACTTTTTTTTTCCGAAATGCATTTCAGTGCAATACTTCAGTGTAAAAGTGCACCGGATGCACAATTCGCGGCAAGGGTGTGTCAAACGGATAGCGCTTTCCTAAAAATGGAGTATTCCACTCCGGTTTACAGGGATGACATTTGAAACACACGCCCGCTCGATTCTTGCTGAACACCAGACGACACGTTGCATTTCATTCCTGCAGCCGCAGAGATCTCCACACACCTGCAATAGCTAATAACAGCGCTTGTTAGCCTGGGGCAGAGTGTTAATTAATCCTGTTGTTGTTGTTGTTGTTTTTACCTTCTTAAGCTATCTGTCACATACAATCAAATTATACCGATGTTAGAAAGCAACTTAATTCAACCTCTCTCAGAATTCGGAGTTTTATTTTTTTTTCTCAAGAGTGTTTCACTTGAGATTCCGGATTGGGACAGTACAGTCCGGTATGATCATGGGCTCTGTTTTCCTCTTGTAAAAAAAAAAAAAAGTACTTGTTACAACTTGTCGCTCAAAACCTCCCCCCCCCTGCTCGCGTCTTGCTCCTCTTCGCTTGCTTTATACCCTGTCGCGCTGACTCACCTGTTTTCTCCCCAGTCGAGAAAAAGCAGTTTCCTGTCGGGAGGGGAGCCGACACCACTTCCCCCACCATCCCGCCAGGAAACGTCTACAATGGGGGGGGATTCTGATGGCTATCGCTGGCTACTCTTCGTTTTTAACTCCTTTCTTTCCAAAAAAAAAATCCTTCTCCGCCTCAGTAGCTCAGACCCCCCCCCTGGAAAAAATCCCTTTCAACCTCACGGAGCAGGATTTAAAATCAACAGCGGGGACCAACAACGGACCGACTAAAAAAATTGAACGGAACGGTGCTTCCTGGGCGTTTGAGCAGAATCCGCCGCCCGAAACATCTTGGAGAGGAAGTCTCTGATGTAACTGTCTTACTGTTCCCACTGCAAGTCCGGCAGGAAGGTATGAGCGATTGCCACCCACCGCAACACCGTCTGGGGAGCCTTTGAAGCGCCGCTCCGCATTCCTTATTGCGCAAATCGCAACCTGCTTTCATTTGCTCTCGGCTACGCGCTGCGACTTGTCTGGAGAGACTTGAGCTGCGGGGAGGCGCGGATGAAGCAATGGCTTTTAAGTTAAGGCCACCGTGGTGGGTTTCTCTCTTGTTTCTGGAAAGCTTTTATGTTGGTTTTTTTTTTTTGGTGAGCGCAGCTGTTCAGGACACTATTGTTTTTTTAAACCAGTCCAAAGTCTCCGGGTTACAAATGGGCTTCCTCTGTCATCCGAGTTAATTTCAGAAACTGAATTTTGCAGAGTTACGGGACACACTAACTCTGGCTCTGTTCACCCTCGCCTTGAGTTCTGGAAGGAAAATCCTAGTATTTTTATGAATAGGAATAAAAAAAGCGTCTTTCCGTGTTTATGGAAACACACATCTGTGATCTCTGTCAATATTTCATAGGTCTGTCAAGATGACGATGAGTCAGTCACTTTTAAAAAATAGCATTACTATTTTTCCAGAGCAGATGTTGAAAAAGAATCATACGTTGTGTTTCCTTTGTTCTCTTTTAAGCATTGAATAAACCTATTACTTGTTCCTTTGCAACATATTATAACGTTGTTAAATGTAAAGATGAAAACACGGGCGACCCAGTCCAATTGGGAACAAGACAGAAATATTTACTGATCATCAGAAGACACTACATATCACCTATGTAAAAAAGCACAGTGAGGAAAATGCCTCTATCAATAGCAAGTGCAGTGGAATTTTATTCGACACACATGACGTGGGCAAATTCATTATGCTGATGAACATTTGTAATTAGCAGTGCTGATCGACGGGAGGTCTGTTGTCAAAGTCACAGGCTAGTAGACAGTCTGCACCTCTGTGTCACATGGGCTTTCCAGCAGGTTGCAGATACTGTCTGATGGGATTCGGTCTCTTCCCTCTGTTGGAGCCTGGACAGGCCTGTGCCTGTCCACTGGTCCCTGAGCCCTAGGTGCCACGTGTCATCCCAGCTCATCCCAGCAGTGTTCACTGGGGCTCATGTCTGGTGCGCCCCAGCGATCCACAGCAGAACGAGGACGTGTTGTCACTTCGGGATGAGCCCACAGCAGGGGCCGCGAGTGGGCTCCCAGGACTGGACCAGTGTAGCCGTGCAGTCAGGCTGCCATCAATCAATCAATCAATCAATCAGTAGGGACTAGACACTCCTGCCCATGCGCCCATCGCAACACGGACCCCTGCCTGGACTGGTCTTTCACACATGAGACCCCCCCCCCGTTCAGAACACCTGCATCGCCCTCGCCGACATCCATCATGGTGGTCTGCAGGAGCTCGTGACTCATCCCTAGAGACGATCTGTCTCAGCACGAGATGTTTCTCCAGCACCCCAGCGGCACCAAAGGCGCCGTCTTCTCGATTAGCGGAGCACGCTGGCCGCTTCAGGTGTTCGATCACCTCGTCCCCCGTGCCCCCACCAGCTCTCTCTCTCTGTGCGATGAGGTGATTTTGGGGTTCACGCGACGTAGTCTCAGGAGCTTTTTATGGTCATTCTCAAAAGGATTGAGCAAACCCACACCCAAACCACCTAGCCAGTATCTCAAACCTGGGGATTTTTCCCCATGCACGAACACAGCAATAGGTTTCTTTCACCGCTCAGCTCATTTAGAAGATGACTACTTACCCTGACAGAAGGCAAAACGTCCTCTTCTTAAAAGGCCTCCCGGAGCCCCGGCACTATTCTGATCCACTCTCAACGTAAACGAATCCCACACGTTTCAAACAGAAGCCTTGAAACCATGTGCTCTGTGTCTTGAATGCAGCGCGTGAAGAATCCCACGACTGAATGTCCGCAGGGGGGAATGACACTTCTAATAATCCCCTCTACCCTTCTGTAACCCTTCCTCTCCCTGTCCCTCTTCCTGCCCTCCAGCGACACCCTTCCTCCTGCCTCTGCTCGCCTTCCTGCCATTAGAGGAGAACAGGAAGTCGGCGAAAGAGGGGAGCTGCCGGTCTCCCCCAGCCTGGCAGACGTACAGAACGACACCGGACTCGTCGGAGAGCCAAGATGGCACTCCCCTGCCCAGCCCTGGCATTATTGATCCTCGATTTCCTCCGTTACTGGTCGTTGCCCTTTCCCGGTGCCAGCTACTAGTGAGAAAATGCCCGGAATCAGGATCGGCAGTCAGTTTTGGTTGGGCGGAAGGGAACTGTAGCACACATGCTTTGTGTTTTGTGTTTGGACCCTCTGCAAGTC